TCAGCCAAATATATATGTAACGTAAACGCTCGGCAGTGCTTATGTTTATAGTGAAAAAGATATATGGGGCCAGATTGTATAGTCACGGTGGCCGAGAGGTTAAGGCGTTGGACTCGAAATCCAATGGGGTTTCCCCGCACAGGTTCGAATCCTGTTCGTGACGATAAAACTTTTGATTGCCACAAATTTCTTCTTATAAAACACGCTCACACTCAATCGTTCAGAAACTTGTCAAACTGGACCCAATTTATTGATTTAATACAATGTGTGTCCCCGAAGGGTTACCCACGATACCTAGTGCTAAATGACAGATTCTACACTCTGAGTGAAATCTGTGTTTAAACTGGGACACCTTGAAGACAAAAACAACGATAAACCGAGATTAGTAAAACGGATGCGACATTATTAAAAATAAATAAATAAGCAAACCACCGTTCGTTTTACGGTTGATAGTAAACTCACATTTCCTCTCGTCTCGCGTTGTTTGTGAATGGAATTCATTTGCTATGGTAAAAACCAACTGCTTTCATTTGCAACTCTAAACAGCTAGGTTTTGTGCCTTTTTATGGTTTTGGATGCAGTATCTTACAAGAATACAACTATACAATTGTTCTCTATATATTGATTTGTCTATATAAAATCACATTAAAATATACTTTTACGAATATACCCCTTCGCCGTGTAGAAAAATGGAATCGTCCGGTGGAGATAAAACTGACCGGCAGTACAGCTGACGTAGTTTTTGGGGCATTGTTCAGGAAGGTTAAACCGTGTAGTTGGCAGTGTGTACAGTTTTTTTTTTTTATTAAAAAACAGCGTTTTGGGGGCCGTAGTATTTAGGGATTAATACCTCGGACGTTTAACAATAAGTGTTGTTCGAACAACAGCAACGCTACTGGGGCTACAGATAGTTGAAAATAGACACACTAGTCGTATAACAAAGCATTTGGCCAGACTGCGCGCTAACAAGGCTAACAGTTCTTTATACTTACAAAAGGCACACAAAGGAAATGCGGTCGATTAGTTTAAAAGCATTAAAAAGAAGTGTCTAAATGATCGAGTGGGTCTACTAAAAAAGGCTAGAAGTACAGGCAGCACATTAAGCTGTAATGTAACTTGCAGTCAGTGGAGTGGTATTTGTTAAAACAGGAACCTCAGATTGAACCAGGGATTCTGGATTTGTCAGCCTATTGGTATCTGATTTCGAAACATCGTTTTGAGTACTTGACAGCTACTTTGCAACGGATTCTACGTTAGCTAATTTTATGAGAAGAATGAAGCTGACATTATGGCGATAATCGCGAAAAACGAGATATCCAGACACTCGTATTCTGAAACTAAAATAAGGTAGCTAACTGGGAGCTAGCAAACATTTAGCGAATTGTTCCTTAGCGAAGCTATCTTGTCACCCTGCTAGTGTCAGCTGTAAAGAGTATAGTTGTCCTTCACCACTGTCACAAGCGTTTGTGTTAAGTTTAATGTGGGTTATCTAAGGCGCTGGTCCCCTGTGTTTTATGTTATAAACAGTTAAGATACGTGTTAGAAGTAGCAAGGCTGACAGGCTAACTAGTTAGCTAAGCTGAAGCTAACGGTTTTAGCTCCCCATTACATAGTAACGACAGTTATAGCTGCTGAGTTTGAGTGACAGGAAGAGAGACATCAGTGGTCCGTTTTTTCCACCCTCGACACTAATAATGGCAGCACCAACAAACGAGGCCTTGTTTTTGATAAAGGATGTGAAGCCTGGCTCGAAAAATTTGAATATCGTGTTCATCGTTTTGGAAATAGGTGAGTAGTTGGACTGTGAGGCTAAAGCGGTCTCTCCCTACATCAACTCGTGCTCCTTTTTCTTAAAGGGACCGGCAGCTTTGCTGTGAAAGCCATGAGAGATACAGCCTAAATACAGTGAGGCTTTGATTTAATACTGTTCTATGTGAAAGTTGAGAGTTGGCCTCTGGTAGAGCTATTTGTACCTTGAGTCTTTTTTTCTTTCTTTTTTTTTTTTTGTTAGGTCGAGTAACCAAAACGAAAGATGGCCATGAGGTGCGCTCATGCAAGGTGGCAGACAAGAGCGGTAGCATAGCTATCTCCGTTTGGGATGAACTCGGCAGCCTTATTCAGCCAGGGGACATCATCAAGCTAACCAGAGGGTAAGACTGCGGATGTAGAAATCTTCAATGTTGCCAGAGAGATCGGTGTTTGCATATTTTGTATGTCTGCACCAGTTTAACCTGGTATTTCTCTGCTAGCTATGCATCTATATGGAAAGGCTGCCTGACCTTATACACTGGAAGAGGAGGAGATCTACAGAAGATTGGAGAGTAAGTAGATGGTCACACACATCTATTTATGTAATGCTCCGGTCCCTCTTGGAATTCTGCTTAGCGTATCACTCTGTTCCAGAGTCATGCTTTGTAAAATGTAATGGTAAAACATTTTTAGTTTTAGGCAGTTTTAAAACACAGTCAAGCATTTTAATGCATTTCACAAAATATGATTGGAGCATTTTTGAAGTTTATTTCTAAAGCGAATAAAATTTCATTTTATAAGTTTGCACACTGACCTCTACTACAGTACAGTTTGTGGTTGTTACAGTCTGGCTTTCCCTTGGCTGATAAAGTGTGAATAGTGGGGCATTTCTTCATAAGGATGAGTGCAATACAGCTGATGGCTGAAACGATCATACAAGATGATTAAATGTTCTCTAATATCTTTCCAGATTCTGTATGGTGTATTCAGAAGTGCCCAACTTCAGTGAACCAAACCCAGAGCTGCTAGCCCAAGCAAACCAGCAAAACAAGTCTGTGAGTACTCTTAGGAAACTGGCCAGCTGGTGCAGACCCCTCAAGAACACTTTGGTTGTCCTGTTCTCACGCAGATCTGTGCATTTCCCCAAATAAATCAAGCTAAACTATCTTCTGCAAGCTTTCTGCATGCCTCAGTCTAAGTGAAAATATATTTAAGGTGGCCTTCCTCTTTGTCTACCAGGGGAAGCCTGACCAGAATCAGAGGGGGAACTCTCCACCCAATCAGAATTCAGGTACATCTGCTCCACCAGGTCAGTGTATTTTCCTAATGCAAATTTTGAGTTAACCACAAGCTGACTGATGACTTGTGTGCATGTGTTATGTAATTGTACACTTTGATGCTAACATTGGGTTTGTTGTTGTAGTCACCTGCATTTACAAAGCTTTATGTCTGTACTGATGGAGCCTCAAAACCTCAGATTCCAGACAGGGACTGGCATAAGGCGAAGCAGCTAAAAGAAGTTCGTCTGTCATCAATTGAATTATTCACAAATGTGCTTAATAATCTTTTAAGGGATGAAAAGGCTGGCATTTCAAGGGTTATGTAATTTTCTCACTTAGTTTAGTTTTAACTAGAGTTAAAACACAACTTGGCGGTAAAATAAAGAAAATACACCAAACATGAGGTGGCAATCATGAGCTTGCTTCTAACAAATGACTCATGTTGTGATTTTAAAAGGAAGAAGGTGACATGTTAAAACAAAACACACTTCAGTCGCACCCACAAATGTGAGACAAAAAACAGAAATGAGTGAGGACTGACTCATGTTTCTAACCTGCAGGTAACGGTGCCATGCCGCCATATGCCAACAATAATCAACCACCTGGTGCACCCCGTGACCCCACGTTTGGGAACGTCGGGCGGCCCAATGGACGGTCGCCTGGCAACGGTGCCCCTTCGGTTACTGCTGCTGGAGCCCCACCAGCTACAAAGTCCTCAGTTACAATTAGCAACGGCAGGGACCCACGACGTGCCAAAAGATGAAATTGGGGGTTAGAAGGTGCAGGGGAGGGTGGTATGTGAGAAATCTATGGACGTCACCATTTACCCCCCTCTTACAGCTTTCCGACCTGTCTGCCCCGTCTTCATCACAGCCTGTGTTGGCTATAAAAAAACAAAAAAAACCAAACAACTGACTACTTGCAGAATTTCTTTCTTTTTTAATCCAGGCTAACATGATCAGATGTGTCGTCTGTCATCCGTAGTGCAGGTAGTGCTCTCATAAGCAGCACAGTGTGATTATGATCTACCACTTTATGCGTTTTCAGGGCTTCTTAGATAGTCGCGACCTGGTGTGGCTGAGGTGTGGGCAGCTTCCCAGTCTGCACCCTTCTTCTTCAAGTTGCCAGTTCTGTGCCAGTGTTACCCCCCCAACTCCCAAACAAACACCAACCTGAACCCTTGCCCTCTTCATGTTCTTTAAAACTATACACCCTACTTGAACACTTGATGCACTTTCTTCTCTTAATTTATGTCGAGGCTTAGCTGTCATTTAATTCAGGAAATCAGTTTCTGCTTTATTTAGTTTTTTAGAGGGGAAAAAAAAAGGCCTTAAGTTGTGAAAATAAGTAGTTGAACTGACTGCCCACGTGAAACTCTTCAAACCAAACTGTTTTCTGAAGTGACTGTGTGAAAGGAAAGGTGTTAGTTTTGAGTTTTAATTATTGGTAGGTAGACTGATAGTGAACGGTTTCTTTTTTTCTTTTCAATAAGACATGTTTTGTTGTTTTCTTTCTTTCTCTTTTTTTCTTTGTTGGCCATCAACTGTACCTTTAGGGACCACTTAAATACTGGCAAAAACAGTTCACCAAATAAATTTTAGAGCAATTTTCTGTCACATTTGCTTTTCTGTAGTCTGTTTGAGAGCTTGAGTTACTCGTACTGTCGCTGATATATTCTTACACTGCAGTTTAAAGCCTACATGAGAAGTGTTCAGGGGCCTGAATGCACATCACCCCAAAAGACTCATCGTCCTGTAAACATGCTGCCACCTCTATTAAAGCTCCACACTGCCACCAACGGCAAAATAAACCTCCTTTCTGCTCATCATTGCACTCTACAGCACCATCTAGTGCCCAGATTGATAAATTATGTTATTTTTGGACATGCCTTCGCATGATTTGCTTTGCCCAGACAATGGTTACTTTACCGTTTTACTTTTCTTTACTTCAGGTTTTTGGCGAGATTGCTCAAGCAGAAGTGGAACTGGAGTTTTATTGTTTAACTTCCTTTATCACAGTTGGGTTAGGACCCTTATGTCTGTACAAATGAAAGCATTTGCATTAAGAATTTTGTTTTGAAGCAATGTGTTGCTTTCGACAAAACCCTGTCTTCATATCCTCTGTTGCACCAAGCACCTAAACGTTATGGCCTCAGGATGGCGCAATTTCCCAGTCTCACTTTTCTGACGCACTTGTGGTTTTTCTCTTTTTATTTTTTTTTGTTTGATTCTTACTCTCTATGTCAAAAGGTGAAAGGGCCTTTCACGTTAGTTTACGTACATGTAGACTTCAAGCTGCACAAAAACACCAGGACACCACCTTTGTCTTCTGTGTGCACAAGTGGAACAAAAGTGTAGTTGCCTGTAGAGGCCAGCTGTTTGATCCGTGTGCTGCTGGGACTACAAGAGATCCCTAAAGCAGCTGTAGGAGTGTTTTGTTTTTTTGTTTTTTTTAGTCTAAACAGCTGGACTTCATGTCATATTTAAAGTAAGACAAATTTAGGGTATCAAACCTCATTGTAGGGTGAACTTAGATCCTGAGCACCTGCATAAAGATAAATTTAAATATGCCCGTCCCCGAATCATCGTCTTTCCACTGAATGTCTTTATTTTAATTTCAGCAAAGTGGGAAATGCACAAAATCCCCTTTGAATAAGCAGCTCTTAAATACATTAGCACTGCACATCCAACTTGTCTTTACTAAAATTGCAAATTTCATTTGCAAGAGTTTCTCCCCCCCGTGGAGAAAAATCTGTTGAGTTTAAATAACGTTTATTCAAATTTTTAAACTTCTGTTTTTGTGTGACCTTGAAAAAAAAAAAGTTTCCAAACACACAGCACTTCTTCATAATGATTCTGTTTTTGCATCCAGTTCTAAAGGAAGATATCTGTCAGCACGACTGTTTGGCCTGTAAGAAGTAAATGGGTAAAATTTATCATTTAATTACTTTAGTATAAATGGCCGCTGGGGAGGATTTTATGTGTGGGGAAAAGCTGTGATTGGATAGGAATCTTCACCAGGATGATTTTTGGCCCCTGGGCCTTATGTTTGACACCCCTGCAATACACCATGCAAGTTAGATTGGCGTGCCAAGTACACTTTGATGTTAATGGGTAACGTTCCTTCCCCCCCATTAAAGTCTTCACAACACAATAAGATCCTGCAAATACAATCCCGTCTCACAGATGATAAAAGTGAGAATCTGTCTGTCGTCTTTGATATCAGGCAGGTTTTTTTCAGTGTGGCTCAGTGTTCGGGTTAGTGAGTCTAGATTTCTGCTGCACATTCCCACTGTATCTTAGAGCATCTAAGTTGACCTGGTCCAGAATTGCAAAGTAAATCCAATCAAACAACCCATCAGTTTTAACATCCCTAATCCAAAAGATTATTTTTACAGCTCCTGATACACTAATCCTGTTCTCAATCAGAGGTCGAGGCTCATTTCAAATATTTAAAGCACTGTTTCAGAATTCATTTCTGTGTTGCTCATGTGTTGTAATCACTTGTTCATTTTACTGTAACTCTATATTTCTACTTTTATTTACCAAGATGTGTTTTTTTCTTAGTCTTTTTTTGCAATCATGTCACTGCTGAGCACCTTTCAAAGAACTATTTTTTAAAGTTATTTTATTATTTTTTTCAAAGAACCATATGTTCAAAACATGTTTATGATAAAAGCCGAGAGCTTGTGACACTGGAAGTTGACACACACATGAGAAGTGTGGCAGGAAATGTGATCTTAGACACTCGTGTTGACAAAGAATGTGATGAGCTGGGAACTTCCTCAGTGTTTCATCAGAAGTCTAGTAGCGTCGTGTGATTTGTCATATTTTAGATTTGTACCGACAGAAGCCGACATGAGGATTTCAACCTGTTACATCAATAAATTTTGAACATATCGACTAATTTAAAAAAATTTTGAACACATACAAAATCATTTGTATAGGATTCTAAACTGAGTCGGAAAAGGTGGAGCAATGTTGTGGTGTGTTTTGCTTCATTTTGTATTTTACCCCTCGGCCTGAAAGGCTATTGTCAAGTTTACTGGAAATCTTTTGAGCACAACAGCTCTAGAAGCAGGCCACGTAGGATTTTCTTAAGCCACACCATTGGTTTATTTACAAAGAAGGATCTCTTATCAGCCTCACATGCTGACAGCTTCACTGCATCTACTGACAATCTCTTTTGGGAATCTGGCAACCCTGATACAACTCATGTATAACCTGTAGCTATACCAGCATCACTGTGCACTCAGGTGCACGACATTCAAGGCTTTTCCCCAATCTGCAATCACTGAATTATCATCATGACGGTAACCCTTCTGCTGTCAGATTGCTGTAACTGTTCATATTTTCAGGCCAGGGCACAGGTTGATGGTTGCGGTAAAAGATGATCTGGCAACTCCTAAAGATCCTACTGTTGACAGGCTGAACGGTACCCCAGGCTTTTTTTCCTTATTTTCCCATTTTTTCTGTATATGGCTTACACGATCGCGATGCATGGAACAAAACAAAACAAACAGTGTTTTTTTATTTCACAGATTTCACAGACCACATCAACAAGTGGTTTCTGTTTCAATTTTGCCTCCAGTGTGACAGTAATCCCATGACACAGTGATTCACATCATGGGCCTGGGTTTGTTTTGGGGGAAGCACTGTGGTTTAGCAACAACAACAAAAAAAGACTATTAAAAATACTCTGTAATGATGTATTAAAAAGAAAAAACAACAACACATGAAGCTGTAAAAAGAAATAAATGACAGTGACGTTGTGCTATATGCTTGCAGCTATGTGTAAATGTAAATGGGACTGGAAACAGACTTCCTTCATGTTTGGATTCTTGAGCAAATCAAAGTCTGTGTGTGTGACGCAAACAGGAAAATGGACCTTGTGGGAGGGGTCTAGAGGGATACATCATTTAGGAGACAAATGCCTTTGTGTGACACATTCAGTGCGTCCCGCTGAGAAGACATCACAATGACTGGTGAGTTTTTTCATCCTCCTTTCATCAACTTAAATCTGTTTGGGAAAAGTCTTTGTAATAATTTAATGCTTTCTTTTCTTTTTTTCTTTTTTGTCCTCAGAACCAAACGCATCATTGTCCTGGGAGGATTTTGGTGCCATTTACGATGCTCTGAACTTTAGCTATAATTACACAGACTTTTTACTTGACCCCGCCACCCAGCCCTGTAACTTTCACACCATCTCAGATACTGTGATGATCGTTGTCAGTGTCTTTTATGTCCTCATCTTTGTGATGGCACTTCCCGGTAACGTGGTGGTGGGGCTGGTGATCAGCTTAAGCAAGCAACCTTTGACCCCTTCTGACCTCTACCTCCTCCACCTGGCGATCGCAGACCTCTTGCTCGCCATCACCCTCCCGTTCTGGGCCACCTCGGTTACTCGGGGCTGGGTATTTGGAGAAGCCATGTGCAAAATAGTCACTGTCCTCCAAGAGGTGAGCTTCTACTCAACCATTCTCTTCTTGACTTGCATCAGTGTGGACCGGTACACTGTGATTGTGCGCGCCATGGAGGTTCGTAGGACTAATCGACAGCTGGTCAGCTGGGGAGTTTGTGCCGCCGTCTGGATTGTCGGAGCGCTTCTGTCCCTCCCGGGCTTGTTCAGCTCCACTTTCACCTCTTACAACTCTAGTCACGTACTGTGCACTGAAAAATACGATCCCAGCACTGCTGATGAGTGGCGACTGGCCACCAGAATTCTCCGCCACACTTTGGGTTTTTTCATCCCCCTGGCCATCATGCTGCCCTGCTACGGAATCACCATCCATCGCCTCCTTCACATCCGTGGGGGGTTTCAACGCCAGCGAGCCATGAAAGTTATCATATTCGTGGTCCTCGCTTTCCTGCTTTGTTGGACGCCGTACCACCTAGTAGTGATAGTGGACACATTTTTCAGGGCAAAGATAGTAGAGTATCAGTGCCCAGCGAGGACAGCAGTGGACCAGGCCATGTTTGTCACCCAGAGTCTGGCCCTGCTTCACAGCTGTTTAAACCCAGTGCTGTACGCTTTCCTGGGAGAGAAATTCAGAAGGAGGCTACGGCAGTTAATGGCAAAGATAAGAATCATTGAAAGATCGTCAACATCAAGAAGCAGCAGATTTTCGCTGTCATCGGAGCTCACGCCTACAATCATGTGAGAACATCAGAGACACTTGAAACTACTCAGATCAGCTGATCAGGGAGATTTAATGTGGGGATTAAAGTGTGGAAAACTGCTAGTTTTGATAATCCTCATATTTGTACTGCAGCTAATATTTGTCAAAGAAAGACTTCAAAATATTTTTAAATAATTTGTGTAATAATATTATTAGTGTACATACTTTTTAAGACTTTAGATTCTATTTTATTATTATTTAACTTTGATTTGCTGCACACACTTTTTTGTTAAATTCGCCCCGTCATCTTCAATGACGATTCTGAAGAAAGAGAAAATAAAAAATGTCGCGTTTCAACACGACATCGCAGCATTACAACATTAACACTGAGCCCTTGCCAGTGAACTCTGAGTTGCAACAATTCGGCGGTAGATTGTGAAACATCAGTTCATCAATTACATAACATTGAGTTATTTTTATAGAAATGCATTCACATTTTTGTATCTGTATATGGTTGCCATCAACGTCTGTATATATGAGAAATGAATAAAACCATCCACTTTGCTCCTTTGTTTGTGATTGATATGACACCGCAGAGTCATTGGAGGTTTACGTGTTCATTGATCAGCTGAGACACCACAGTCAAATGATGGGAAACCCCCCCCTCCACAAGGTTCCCACCATTCAAATTCAAATTCAAATTCAAATTCAAATTTTATTTGTCACGTACACAGTCATACACAGTACGATATGTAGTGAAATGCTTGGACAACTGCTCGTGACCTAAAGAAAACAAAAAAGGAAAAGGCTATGAATAAGATAGGAAATAAATATGAAAAATTAAAAAGGGTAAATTTAACTAAGAAGGAATAAAATATAAATTAAGGTTAAAAATGAAATAACTGTACAACACAAATTAGAATGAAGGGTAAATTTAACTGGGAAGAATAAGATAAAATATATAAATTAAAGTTGAAAATAAAATAACTGTACAACAAAATACACAATATAGAACTATATAAGAATGTATGAAGAAATCTAAATATAAATAAATATATACACAATAACAGCAGCTGTACAAGTATTAACTGGAAATGAAGAATATAGTGACCAGTGTTGTGCAAAAAAACAATGTGTGCAAAAACAATGTCCAGAAAGTCCAGTGTGTGTGTAAGAACTATATGTGTGGGTCAGTACTGTGTAGTGGTGTGATTGAGAGACCGTATCGCCTGCGGGAAGAAGCTCCTCCTCAGTCTCTCTGTGTTGGTCTTCAGGGAGCGGAATCGCTTTCCGGACCTCAGCAGAGAGAACAGTCTGTTGTTGGGATGGCTGAGGTCCTTCACGATCTTCCTGGCCTTGGTCCAGCACCGCCTGCTGTAGATTGAGTGCAGGTCAGGGAGCTCGGAGCGGATAGTGCGCTCAGCTGACCGCACAACCCTCTGTAGAGCTCGTCTGTCCTGCATGGTGCTGTTCCCGAACCAGGTTAAGATGTTTCCCGCCAGGATGCTCTCTATGGTGCACGAGTAAAAGTTCCTGAGCACCTTGGAGGGCAGTTGGAAGTCTCTCAAGCGTCTGAGGTGGTAGAGACGCTGTCGGGCCTTTTTCACCACGGTGTTGATGTGACAGGACCATGACAGGTCCTGCGTGATGTGAACTCCGAGGTATTTGAAGCTGTCCACTCTCTCCACTGAGCACTCGTTGATGACGGGGGTCTGGTAGTTCCTCTCCTGCTTAGTGCTGAAGTCCACTATCAGCTCCTTTGTCTTACTGACGTTTAGAAGGAGGTTGTTCCTCTGGCACCAGTTCTCCAGATTCCTAATCTCCTTCAGGTAGGCCGTCTCGTTGTTATCAGAGATCAGGCCCACCACGACGGTGTCGTCAGCAAACTTGATGATGGTGGTGGAGCTGGTAGTGGCCACACAGTCATATGTGTACAAAGAGTACAGCAGGGGGCTCAGAACACACCCCTGGGGGGCTCCAGTGCTGAGAGTGGTGGAGGCTGAGACATGTCCGCCCATCCTTACTGCCTGTGGTCTGCCAGTTAGGAAGTTGGAGATCCACTGACACATAGATGAGCTGAGTCCCAGATGCTCCAGCTTGGTGGTGAGTGTGGAGGGAATTATGGTGTTAAATGCAGAGCTGTAGTCTATGAAGAGCATTTTAACATAATTCCCCCTTCTAGTGTCCAAGTGAGTGAGTGATGTGTGGAGGAGATGAGAGATGGCATCGTCTGTGGAACGATTTGGACGGTAAGCGAACTGTAGTGGGTCCAGTGTGTCTGGTAGTGAAGAAATGATGAAGTCTCTGACCAGGCGTTCAAAGCACTTCATCACTACTGAGGTGAGGGCTACAGGGCGATAGTCATTGAGAGAAGCAGGGTGGGGTTTCTTCGGGACAGGAACAATGATGGACTCTTTGAAGCATGTGGGGATCACCGACTGAGATAGAGAGATGTTGAATATCTCAGTGAACACAGGAGCTAGCTGGTATGCGCAGTCTCTTAGGATACGACCTGGGATGCCGTCTGGTCCTGCTGCTTTCCTGGTGTTCACTCTCTTGAAGGCTCTCCTTACTTCATGCTCGGAGATGACGAGCACGTTTCTGGTGCTGGCAGTATCTTCCTGTCTGCAGCCGTTAGCGCCGCTAACACTAGCATTGTTGGAGACCTTAGCTGCAGCCTCGAAGCGAGCATAGAAAGTGTTCAGCTCGTCTGCCAGAGTCACGGCCGCGTTCGTCATACCGGTTGTTGGTGCTTTATAGTCCGTTATTGTCCTTAGTCCCCGCCACAGGCTCCTAGAGTCACTCTGTTGGAGTTGTGACTCTAGTTTCCTCCCGTAGCGCTGCTTCGCCTCTTTCACCGCCCTCCGCACGTTATATGACGCGGCTTTGTACGGGTCCATGTCCCCCGTCGTGAGTCCCGTGTTGTAGGCAGCGGTGCGGGATCTCAGAGCGTCGCGGATGGTTTTATCCACCCACGGCTTCTGGTTGGGAAACGTTGTGATAGTCTTTGTCTCCACGGTATCATCCGCTAGTTTCCCGATGAATCCCACAACCGCTTCCGTAAACACGTTGACATCATCATCGGAGCTGTTTCTGAACATGCCCCAGTCTGCGTCATCGAGTGCGTCCTGTAACGCGGCCACCGATTGATCCGTCCAGCGCGCGACCTTCCTCTGAACCATTGGGTTAATGGTGTGAACTTTGCTTGTATAGGGGAGAAAAAGCAGAAGTTTTGATGACTGCAGCCACAGAAATGCAGCCATATTTGAGATCGGAGGAGCGATATCTACGCCCTCTTGATTACAAAATGATCAAAAACATCTAATTTACTTGATAACTGACAAGCATGTTGGTTCAATACTGGCACTGGCTGTTGGGTTTGCAGAAATAGCGCCAGTTTGGATGATCCACAGAAACTCCTATTTTGCCGGGAAGAACTTGCAGGTGTGCAACTAACCAACTTGTGTCTAACTTTAAATAGTTTTCACAAATCCAGGATGCAAAAGCTATGAAAGTGGATTTTCAAACTTTTTAATCTAACATTTACAGCCCAAAACGTTGCTTTCTTGGGTTTTGTGCTTTTCCTTTTTTCCTACCAGGTGTAAGAGGTTAATTAAAAGGTTCATGTTTTTCTCACTGCCCGGGTCTTACAAGCTTTGTCCTTTTTTACAACAAAACTGCTCCATGTATGTCAGGCTTTTTTGTTTTCATTGCAGCTGAAGTTTGCAGCTTCTTTCAGCATTCATGTATATTGTAAATCAGAATCAGAGACTTTATTAATCCCGGAGGAAAACTGAGTTGTCATAGCAGCAAATATATCTCAAACATCAGGCACTCGTATAAAATGAGTGTAAAACAGAGATATTGATAGATAAATATTAAGATAAAGAGATAAAGATAGAGATATAGGTATAAATATACATATAAATATAAATGGACAAGTACATGTGCAAAGCTAGCATGCTAGCACTAAATGTGTAGCAATACTGGGAGACCGCAGGTTTTTTGAGCTGTTTTGGGCACGGTTTGTGATAAAAGTACAATTATATACACGATTATACAACTTAAATTTGGGTTTGTTGATGGAAAGCCACTTCCAGATTCAGTTTTTGTGTCAGTTTTATAAGGTTTAACTTTATTTCCTTGTCTATAGAGTGTTGGACATCAGAGTCATAAGTCTCTCATGTTAAACTTTATTAAGTAAACCATTTGTTTGATAAACATCGAACATTAGTAAATAAAATAAAGAAACAAACAAAACAATAAATTCTTTAGGCCCCCTTTGTTTTACAAGAAAAATGTTCGCCCCCCCCGCGCGTGCACGCGCGCACGCACACATCCTCCAACCACACACACCCATATTTTGCTCCATTGTGGTTTATTTCACAACTCAAACATTTAGTAAACAATTAACCAAATAGAAGTAATCTGCAATAAATTACAGGTAGTAAGAAAATAAACTACTAACTCTTTTACGCTACATCCACATTTACACGGCTATTTTTGAAAACGCAGCTGTTTCGTTCACACGTGAACAGCGTTTTGAATCACCGAAAACGGAGATCTTTTTAAAACTCCTTTTTTGCGTGTACATGTGAACAAGGAATACAGAGTTCGCCAGGCAACGTCAAAGGTATGTGCCCTTTTTCACGTCACGCTGTGCGCCACGTTTTTGTTTACATGAGATGAATTGCAGAATGGCAGATAGAGACAAAATACGTTTCTGTTAATCTGACTATCTTCAGGTTTTACAGCTTACATACAAACAGGCAGCTACTGTCCCTCCATTTACAAAGGCAGAGGCGTCACAGTGTGATTATGTTTGTGTAGTTGTTTTTTTCCCTGAGTAATAATATTCAACATTGCTATCAAATAAAAAAAAACGCCTCTCTGTGCAAAATGGGTTTAAAAACAAACAACTGTGGGATACTGTTTGTCTGTGATTTGAACCGGGGGACAAATCGTGGCAGGATCAGCCTGATGTTATTTGTATCCCGCTGTAACTTTACTGTATAAAGCGCTAACATCTCCAAAATGTCAGGAGTAGTCATTACAACAAGTGTTTGTGAACTAAAAATCAAGAATGTGGGATACTGTTGCCATGGCTCTGCGCCCCTCCCCCTCCCTAGGGGGCGGGCCCCACACTTTGGGAAGGTCTGCTTTAGGGCATGTCGACATTTCCCATTTCCAAGGCAAACTTACGATGCTGAAAATGCAAATGCAACTTCAGGCTTGATAATTAGAGCTCGACTGATAAAGACTTTTTAAGATGCTGATATTAAATTGATATTTAAAAAGCCAATATCCTGGGAAATATCAGCTGATAGTTGTTAAGTCCATGATTCAGACACATCAATCATGAACAGATGTCTCCACCATTTGTTTCGTGTAGTTACTTGTTTCCACAGTGCGTGTCAGGTACTTCAAACATGTGTATTGCCAGCAGGGAAGTTCCAGAGGGCCCACTGGTGGGCAAACTTTGTACCATCAACACTTATAACACTCAATATCAGTCATAAATTACAGATGGCAAACTGAATGTAATGACTAAT